CACTATCAGCCAGTGTAGAGTCATCTAAAGTTAATAGAAGTACGTTGATTTATGCTGACTGAGGACCTGACCCGAAATCCACCGAATTATGGGTTGGTTGAGTTTGAAGGGGACCTCTGGAGGGCCTCTTGTATCAAATTTGGATAGATCTTTTGATACAGTAATATGAAGACACTTTTTCTTCCCCCCTAGTACAAGACCAGAAAGAATAGCTAATTCAGGGATATGATGGCCATCATGGACCACAACTGAACAGGATGCAAAAAACAGGATCCTTCTTACTTTGTGGTTGCATTTTATTTGTTTAATAGCATAGGTAAGCCTGAGGCTTTACAGATCTACCAAAATAAAGATGAAGCCAACAGCTTAGTGTAACAGACAAATTCTACATGTGAAAAGAGTAATCAGATCTCATGAGGATGAACTAGAAGAAAAGGATAGACAAGCAAAAAGAAAAGAAGCTCGAGCAACTTGCTTTTCCTTCAAGAGGGATACAAGGAATTTGTACTGCTGTGTTTTATCAACATTCATGCTACTTTTTTGTTCTTTTACCACTTCATTATTGTTTGCTGTTAATGTATTATTACTTTTTCCACTGTAGCAACAAAGCTCCTGATGAGAAAACAGTGATGTTTTCTCACAGCTATTGCAATGGGTGTAGATTTTTGAATTTAAAAATGTCATCCTCCTCCAACTGGTATGCATATAGATTTAAGGATTTGGTCTGAATCAACTACTAGTTTCCACTTGTGATAGCCACATGAATCCTGACAGAACACTGACTCCAGCAGCCTGGTAAATCTTGACTAGGCAGTACTTACCTTTGCCTTAGGGCCCGCTGATCCACATTTTTAGCAAATATTTTGACATACAACTTCTGAATTACTTGAATTATGTATCAGGTAATGTTTCTCTTCACGTTGTTCCACCTTAACATTCTGCTCCTACATTTTTAAAAGTGCACTTTCATGATTCTCAAGTACTTATTGAAAAACAAATTCACAATGCAGAAACTAAAAACAATCAGAAAACAGATTATGTATCGTTATCCCACCTGGCAGAATGCAACAAACATCATAATCCTATCTCACTTGCAACACAGTAATGCAGTTAAAAATGGTTCTAGTGCTCTTAAAAGGAAACTTCCATTCACGAGACAACACAGTTGTGAGAAAAAGGTATCATTTACTGCAGCACAGCCCTCCTAAAACACTGGCTGAGGTTTCCATGGTTAACCTAAATTAAAATTAATTCCATATTTTTTGGCAGAATGTCTATAAACTAATTTTCATATTTTCTTCTTCAACTATAATTAAAAATGTAGGGAAAAGGCTTCGTATGTCTCAAGTATGAAGGTATATTACAGTAGATGTTTTTGGTTTTAAATTGCCACAATGCTTACTTTAATTGAGGCAAAATTAAGTGGGAAAGTAGAATGTCATGACTGCCTTCTGTGATTATACAGTTAATACATATACCCCATGCCTACAGGGCAATAACAACTTGCATGCTAGATTTGGCTGCATGTTCTGAAAGGATGTGAACCTTAATAAAGATTTGATCTGCAGTCACCATACATTTCTGTTGCAAGAATTATTAATCAGCAATTCAGAAACAAGAGAAGATAGCAAGGGAAGGTAAAAGACTTTTTACAGCAACATTTGAAAGATATTAATAGTAAAGATGTGAAATGTATAATATCAAAGAGAAACATAATTAAATAAAATGAAGAGTAGTTTGGCTTGCGTTCACATGCAAGATCTACTTTGTCTATATAATCAGTGAGCAGACAGATTCAATGTGAGAGAAGTGCACAAATGGTCCAGATCTCTGGATGTGAAGACAGGACAAGAGATGCATCCAAAAGAATCCTCTCAGCAGATTAAAACCACTCTGATTCCATAAAGGCCTTCTGATGACTTCCCAGCAAGTAGTCCATAAATGCACAATCCCAGATTAAGGTCATCCTTCTTACAAGCACTCAAAGGCATGACATCACATTACAGACAGCTTTAATAAAAGCTGTTAGAGTTCACTGAATCATCATCTTACTGGCTTCTGTCTATCAAGTACATCCACTGTTTGCAACCCTTCACAATAATCATCTCTAAATTGAATACATACATATTTTATAATTAATTGAAAAAGCAAGAAAATAAACATGAAATATAAACTTTTTCTACACTTCGCTTCTAGAATTAGAAGCACATCCTGAAACTCAGTGACACTTTGTTAACATACAATTGCTACAACTGCTACAGGATATGGTGAGTAATCTCCTTTGCAGCATTCTGGGTTAGATAACTCTCACCTCTGGTGGATGAAGTACAAATCTTGATTTTGGAAATAGATATGGAGAGGTGGGGAAGAAAAATGCATGTGTGTTTTCCTAAGGCCTGTTCAAACACAATAGTCTCACCCGCTTTCCCATCCTTCTCACCCTAAGAGACTGACACTCTTAAGCTAAAAAAAGGTTTTGGGTTGAAATAATAAGCACGTGCCATGTCTGGACTGAAATATATTAGCCTAGGTTTGTGAATAGCACTGACTCCAAAGTAAATTCTATAACCACTCATCAGTAAATAATTGGGAAAGGAACTGGTAAAATAAAGTAGTGGGATCTATTTCATGTTTCAAATTCTCCACTAGCAAATAGAAACCCTCCCTTAAAGTAGAGGAGCTTGCTTTGACTAATTTTAAAATATACAAACAGAAGCAACCCTATTAAATGTCTTAAAACTACATTTATTCAGACAATGTGAGAAGAAAGAATTCTATTACTTGGAAAGCACTTTTCTCACCTCACCTTTCAACCATTACTTGCATACAACCCAAATCACCTCTGAATAAATTCCACTGGCCTTCCTTACATACCATCATTATCTATTTTCATGTGGAATAGTTAGTGTACTAACTATTAGGATAGCCTAACACTTCACAGAGACAGCTGACTGCAAATTAAAGAGGAGACACAGCTTCCACTGTGAAAACTCCAGAGGGGAAAAAGATCCAAAAGTTAAACGTGGAAGGACTCAGAAATAGAGGACTGCTTATCCTCAGTAAGTGAAAAGCAATGGCTAGAAGAAGGCGGGAACAAAGTGGAAAGGGAGAAACAACAAAGATCAAAGATTGTATGTGAGATGACCATAGAACAAGCACATAGAAGCATATAAGATGAAGCAAGTTCATTTGAATTAGACTCCTGGGCGTTAAGCAAGCCAGAAATAGCAACACTGCATAGGTGAGAAACTCTTAATTTTTCTAAAGGGTGGGCTAGGAGTTAAATTTTCTCATCTGTCATAGGCTTTCTGGTTAGTGGCAGGGATGTCACTCAGTCTATGTCTCAGTCCCTCATCGATAAAGCTGGATGTTGTACAGAAAAGCCACAAATGATTCAGGGGACTGTCACTTGATAAGGGCAAGATATGAACCTGCAGAGACAGCTATACCTCACAGATCCCTGCTGAAGAAAACAAAAAGAGGAAGGGGAGAGAGAGGGAGGGAGGGGGGGAGAGAGAAAGAGAGAGAGAGGGACAAAGACTGGCTACAGTGACATGACCTAACTACCTGAATGTTACAGAGGAACGCAAATGCCCACGACAGATGGACATACAACCTCAAGAAAGATAAACGTCTGAGCACAAAAAGCCTGAAGAAGAAAGAAAATTTTCACCGAGAAGGGTGATGATACAGACACAGGTATATTCAAATTATAAGGCTGACTATAATTAAAAGCAGAACAAACCTCTGAGATTGCTCTCAAAGGAATGCTCTCCAATTTCAGGGAGATGTTATTTGGTTACTAGCTACTGCTAGGAAGAGTGAATACAGTCTACTAGTATCAAATATCCATGAGAAAAGCATGAGAAAGTTATGGACAGGAAGAAATAGGACTTCTGGTTGCAGTGGAAGAAAGGAAGGGCTGGGAAACTTCTTTAAGTATAGAGAAAATGGGGAAAAGACCCTTGTCACACACAACTTCAGTCTAAGAACCCTAAGAATAGATTCTTACATTCAGGTGTGACTCGTGGGCAGAACGGAGGGCAACTGGTACAAGTAGTTATTAAATAAGATAGACGTAGTCACAAGAGGAATCTCATGTACCAAAAGAAGCAAACAAAGGAGACAAGCAGTCTGCAGACTATCTAGTTGCAGAGAGGATCAGAGGGGCAGAGGAGACACACAGCCAATCAGAGATGAAATTTGCCCTGAGGGCACAAACAGCTCTCCTGAATACATGTGAGCTTATTTGAGCAGGTTTGAGCATATAAGGGGGCCAGAAGGAAACAGGGGAATGGCACTGAGGCAGCAAGTGTTCACAGTGACAGTATTTCTTCATAAAATGCTGAGCAACTCCTGGAAATCTTTACCATCCCCTCTGGCCATTACCCCCCATTATTTGTTCTAACCAGTGCTTGAAAAAGAGCTTTTCAATATGTAAGTCTGTAACCAACAACATAAGTTCTTGCTAAGTCCAACTTCCTTCTTTGCTATTTATTATTGTCAGACTGGTAAGTATGACTAAGTAATATACAATAGCTGCGAGAGGCATGTCCTTGTCCCAGGCAGACCTCTCCTGCCCTATAAAGTCTAAAAGCACAAAACAGATCATGAGTAGGAGAAAGCAAATAGTACCATCTCCATGTTAGAGATTGAGAACTGAGGAAAAGAGCTAGGAAGTGAATTTCCCAGGATTTCACAGGAAGTCAGTGGCAAAACTGGATATTGAAACCCTCCCTCTTCAATACCCATCTGGTGTTTCAGCAAAAGGGCAGTGTATCTCTTCTAAGGACATTCCCTTTTATCCTCAGAGTGTTCTGGTAACAAGAGTCTTAGACTGAATGTATATATTGAGTGTATACAGCTTAAGGTCTTGTTGTACACCACATTGTACATTTTCCTCTCTCTGTTTCCAACCTTCTTGTAGCCACTTTTGGTCTGAGTTCAAATTAGCAGTGCTACCACCTCCATCCACAAAGTCAACTTCTTTATGTACTTACAGCTCTGTTGGTGAAGTTACTGAAGTCTGTCACTAAGATTTGCTTGATCATGTCTGGTGAGGAAACCACCACAAACATCTGGCGACCAATGTAATACCTACAAAGAAAAAAGAGAGTCATTTTAGCAGATAGTGACAACAGAGAACCATCTCCTTCCGTAAAATACCTCTTTTTGCTTGAAAATACTTGCCATGAACAAATATCACGGTAAACATATTCCCTTTGGTAAAGCAGTATCTTTTCCCAGTCCTCTCAACTATTAAATTAAGATGCATGGTCCTGGAATTTGAAGGAAACAGCTTAAAATCTTTTACTGATTGATCAAAACTCAGCCAATATTTTAATGTAAAGGTTTGTATGCTCTATGCTCACTCTGAATGCAGTACAAAGTGATGTAGTATTACTAAACCAAACTACAGAGGAGCAAAACATTAGAAACCAACAACCCAAATAAGCATTGAAGACCTACAAAATAGATTTTCCTGCAGTTAGCCACATGATGGCAAAGCCCTGTCTACAATGAGCCTTTCCAGAAGTCCCCCCACCATGACTGCTATAAAGGCACACTTCCACAGCTTCTACTAGCACTGGAACTGAGTGCATCTCAGACTCCAGGACATAACCATGGACATAACAATCTAACAGATACCATCTGAACCTTACCAATTATACCAATAAGGAGGGGGAAAAAAAAAGAAGAAAAGGAAAAAAAAAGGGTTCACGAAGTGTCTAAGGGAATTAATAAAGGTTTAGAAGAACAATAAGTGATAGGGGTGTCTCTGCCTGCACACCTTCTATCTCCCTGCTCCCAGTTTAATCTGATCTCGTGGAGCCATGGTATGTCCTTGCATGTCTTCACACCATCGTGGAAGCTGCAGAGGTACTGGGACCCAACCCAACACCACAACTCCTAGGAGTGCAGAGCTCCCTTCTCCAGCACCATTCCCCCCAAGGCCCACAGGCACTTCATGCTTGGTTGCTCTGCCAGAGGAGGAAGAAATACCACCAGGAAGTAGAGGTTGCTTGCAGTCCCTACCTTTGTTGATTGCTGGACCAGAAAGATTATTCAGGCGGTGCTGTCTTTCCTCCACTAGGAGAAAGGAAGAAGAGACTGGAGGCAGGCACAGGAGGGCTAGGCAGCTCATGGCAGAACACAAGAGCAATACCACAGATGCTGCAAAACTGTGGTAATATCTGTGCCTAATCATTTTTGTACAATATAGCTTAGTATCAATATATTGCTTATCACCTGTCTACATTGCAGCAACTGAATAGACAAGCAAACCCTGGGCTGAATTAAATATAGTAACTAGAGGTTCCCATGGCAATGAAGCTGCAGCAGCTTGATTTCTCCAAGGGCAAACAAATCAGACAAATATCTGGATTCCGAAGCTAGGTTTCACAGACCACCTTGACGCCCCTACCACCAAAACTCATAACAAACAAATGGTAAAGAAGAACAAGAACACAATTTTCTTCAGGAAGAAAGATATCATCTTTTCTTCTCTGGTGGGTTTCCAGAGGGAACTTTTATTTCCCAAATGCAATCCACAGGCTCTACTTGAACCTTAGATATGGGTGGTGTGGTCTGTGAAGATAAACTTTTTCACCCCTCCCAGTTTGTTCGACCACAGTAAAATAGCTGTCTGTTAATGGTCAAACTTTTATTCAGAACCCCAATAGGTGTATAAGAAAGCACTGAGGCCTCATTTTAAAGAGGGTTTTGATCACAGACTTTAGCAAAAGAGGATAATGCCATACGTGCACCTTCTGTATGTACTTTGTACAGTTTTTCTGGCATCAAAGAGACAAAGCAAGCTCTCAGGGCAAAGACCCAGCCACGAATACCGACCTCTCATGCTCCTACTTTGCTTTTCTCTTCCTCTCTCCAAGTTTATCAAGTTCCTTGTCACATTTAATGGTTAGTGACTGATGGTCCTGTAACACACAGCTTTTTACAGGGAGCAATTTCCTGACACCAGATTCCAAATCTGAATCAGAAGCTAATTATGTCTACCCAGATAGCCTAACTCTGACCAGTAAGAGGCACAATATGATACATCATGCAAAGCATGTATGTGTAAGAGACACAATTCTAATTTATTTCAAACCTGGGAATTTGCAGAGCTCCAGCTCCTGTCCAATGGAATAACAGGCCAGTACTCACAGCAGGGGTCTTTATGTCACAGTGCACTTTGTGCTTGAAAGCATTCAGGACTAAAAATTTGGGACAGGAGCATCTCCTACTCAAGCTGCTTTTATGAGAAAGTGACTCACAAGCCAGGCTTATGCAAACAAATCTATTCATCATCCTCCAACTCAGACCAGTCACCCGAACTCCCAGTTCTGCTTCCACAGCTAAGCTCTTTCTTTTTTGTTCACTCTCCTCTAACTTTCTAGCTATAGGCACCTGCTTTTTCTTTCATTATCCAGTTATAAATTAGGGCAGAGAAGGAGAAGAAGGGGGGAAAAGATACCTTACAACTAATAAATTGAAAATTCTGGAAAAAAAATCTTAAATTGCTTTTTAAGCAAAGTTCTGCCCATTTTTAAGGAATGACTGCTGTAAAGCACACACCACCATCTCTTATTGCATCCCAAACAGCAAAGGCTTTCTTCCTGCCTTTTTTCCGTTCTCCTGCTTTCTGTATATAATCTTTCTAACCTTTTCTAGGACACAAAAATAAGAGTGTGCGTATGGACATGTTTTGGAAGTCAAGGTCCTGAGGCTAGAAGCATGACTTACATGATCTTCCCCTGAAGTTAAGGAAAAAGGACAGGTAGAACTAAGCACGAAACAAGATCATCTGAGCCATTTCATTTAGCCAACGGAGGTTCAGAACCTGCAAAGGCACCAGAAAGATGCTTACCTGATTTTAACACATTTAAAATCCTTTGCAGGATCAAGGCCTCAGTCACACTCCAGGAGAATATCTCCCAACTCGGCGTTTGGGGGGTTTTTTCACTTTTTTTTCAAAATTGCAAGTAAAAGATAAAATCCTCCTGAACAATAATCTATTCTTCCCAAGTAAATAACGTATTTCACCCCTGCCATGTAAATTCATTTTGATTCTGTATTACTACATGAGGATATCACCAGTCTCACATAGACTTAGATTTATTATTGAACAAAACCTGATATTCTTGTCAGATTTTAATAAATAAGAGTTTGAGAAAAACAAAAGCCTCTGGGCAAGAGCATTGCAAATGGATTCATGAATAATTTAGGACAGCACTTTTTATTAACTTTTCTTAGGTTAATCTTTTCACACGGCTCGTTCACACACAAAAGTCCTACCTTTAGCTACAGTACCATTACACTGCTTGACCCAACCCTTTGTACTACTTTCAGGTAGGGCATTCAGGGTATAATGCAAATGCTTGAGACTACCTAGCTCACTTCTGCAGAGAAGCAAGAACACACGTATGTAGTTTGGCATCCTCAGGGTGACACAACTCTGTCCACATCGAAACACTTGTGGAAACACTTACTGCCATACCAGTAAAAATAAATTTCATCACCCATGCATGAAGGCAATTTTCCTGTGTAGATGAGGCCTCAGTTATTTAAGTTATGCTGTTGGGGCAATTTCTATTATATTTCAGTTTAAACTGCAGCTGTGCAAAATAGAGAAAAAATTCCACCTTTTAGACCAGTAGCTTTAGCTCCATTGGAAGGTGAGACAGGATAAACCTGGTACTAGTCTATCAACAGCACAAGGACAGAGTCAGCTTCCTCCAGCAAATGAAAGTGCAGATCAGGAACCATTGCCCCAGCAGGCTGTCGGGGCAGAAGCAGGAAGCCTTGTGTTGCACCATCCTCAGGAGGGCCAGGCAAAAATTTTTCACAGGTGTTCAACAGAAGGCATGGATGGACCTATTCCCAGAAGTTATGGAAAAGGCAAAGGTTACCAAAGGGCTCACAGGTCAAGGAGATGGCTAGGTTACAGGATATTGAACAAAATAAATTACTCTTCATCTGAAGTGTTTTAACAACTGAAGAGGCAATAAACACCCACTGCAGCAGTTTGGTTCGTAAGATCAGAGAAGCACCGTTCTTAAGGCAATTAATGACAAGGACAGAGACTACTGCCTTGTGTTCAGGTTTCACCCAGGATGTTGTAGTTCTCATTACAATGATTTAGTCATTTAGAAAATGCATCTCTTTTTTTTAATCCACAAGAATAAAAAGCAATCCAGCAACTATGTCTGCTGTTTTGCTCATGCACCACCATTGCTCGCTGCAGAGATGTGGCCTAGGTGTCTGAAACCACACCTAGTGCCTGCCATGGCCACAGCAACACCCAAGCATGTCATCTTCCTTCCCAAGGTTTGCCAGGGACTCCCCCAGAATGTAGATTTCTTTTATCAGACAATGTAGCAGATCAATCAGCTACCAAACTAGTATTATCTTTTCTGCGTTCCCAAGATCATCCTGACCACACTGGACGGTCATCAGCTGCTGACAGCATCCCTCAGATCCTAAGCCACCAATGTGCTTGCAGCAATGTTGCCCTGTTGCACAGGAAAAGGTAAGAGCACGTATAGTACCTTACGGCAAAGGGCCATATGTTTTTGTATAACACCCATGTGGGAAACACCTGCAACCCTTTCACCTTGTTTATAGTGCTGCTGTCAATTCACAGAAGATTTTGATCTCCCTATCTGTTATCAGTCCCATGTATTATAAACACATCATATTAATCACAAAACATACATATGCTGTTAGACAATAAACGAGGCTTTGTATTCTATGCTGTGGTCTGGTGAAGTACACAAAGATCATCTGCAAAGCCATATGAAAACAGAATATTTTATTATCTCTATCTTCCTCAGAGAGGAGCAAAGAACAAAGAAAAAGGTGGGAGCAGGAAGGAGAGGTATGCAAAGATAAATAGATACGGGGGAAAGGCTAATTTTCTTAGGAGATATTTCCTTTAAAGAAGTACCTTGATCACTCTGCCTCTTTTGTTTAGTGATACCCACTAACTGCAGGCAGAGAAATGTAAAAATGAATAGCACACGGCTTGTTTCAAATAGGACTGAAGCCTGGCATTACTTAATTATTTCAGAGCAAACTGATTCGTCATGAGCACT